AGGGCGGGCGGGAGAGAGAGAGAGAGAGAGAGGGGGGGGAGGGGGAGCTTCTGCAGGAGGAGGATCATTCGGCAAAAGAGTTTTTAGTCCTTGCCTATGCGACCCATGAAGAACGCATCAGCACTCATCAGTACGCGTCCATGCACCTGACTCTCCGTGTGAGCACTTTCGTGCTTTCCTCGAGCGGCGGCAGGAGTTGGCGGCGGAACATAGTTTGAGGGGTGGTGGTCCCCAGTGACCCATTGCACGACGACGTTAGGGGAGGGAGGAGAGAAAGGGAGAGAGGGGAGAGGGGGAGAGAGGTAGAGAGGCCGCCCACAGGCACACACAGGGGCCGCTGTTAATTGCGCTCCATCCGCGCCTGCCTGCTAAGGACTGTATCTAGCATACAGGAGATGCACCCGGCTATTGTGTTATCGTATTGGCGGGCGCCCTTGACGATGTTCCCGCGCCAGCCTGGTTGCAGCAGTTCGCTCGGCAGTATACTTACTTACTGTTGCCACTCTTTTTGTCCACTAACCTCCCAAGGGGTCCTCCTCTAGTCAACTCGTTGTACGCTTCCCCATGCGCAACTCGCATCAAACTCGCCCAAACATGAAAAAACGCGCATTAACTAGCGACGATTTACGAAAACTCGCGATAAATTCGTGAAAAATTACGCAAAACTCTCAAAACCTTCATCCCAACTAGCGTCAAACTCGCGCCAACTCGTTGTACACGTATTTTTTAAGTGGGGGACCCCTCGCTACCCCTGCCCTGCCCCCTCTTACCCTCATGCGCCCTCTGTTTGTTTCTCCCGCGCATTCCTACGGAAAGGAAACGGATGCTTCTGTCTACCACCGCCCCGCCCCGCCACCTCCCTCCCTCTTATCCCTTCCCTTTGCAGGTCACTGCCACACGGTGCACAGTACGACTCGACTCTTTACCCTTCGCTACATCGCAGGCTGGCGCTCTGCAACGCGGAGAGGAGCAAAAGTGGGTAATGACCACTCATATTCTCGTCTGTTTGTGGCGGGAGGCTTGTGCACCGCGCCCACAACTGGAGGACCCTGTACACCTGTTTACGCCCTTTCTGCGAGTGCCTGCTGCGCCGTGAGCTGTGGTGGTCGTCTGCTCGCCTCACCAGCTGCTTTGGTTACTAATTTTTTTCTGAATATTCCCAGAGCTTTTTTTGGCAGTGTGGGAAGTGGGTACTGTACGTCGACGCCCCGCTCGGACGGCACCCAACACTCGCGCTTTCTTCGCGCGCGGGGGCCGAGCGAGACAACGGTATGACCACAGCGATGTTCTCCTCCGCCGCTCTCTCTGTCTCCCTCTCTCTGTCTCTTATCGTCTCTTCCTCCATTCTCTCTCTCTCTCTCTCTCTCTCTCTCTCTCTCTCTCTCTCTCTCTCTCTCCCTCTCTCTTTTACGACGGCGCGACAGTGCCTGTGTGTGTGCACGGCGTATAACGAGTAGCATCGTACAAGCTGGTCGGAGTGGCCAACATAAACCTCCCGCTGCAGCGCTACCAACGTACTCGGCAGCTTCCCGCCCCGCTTTTGAAAATCTGGCCATAGGGTCGGACTAAACTAACTCGCGGGTAAAGAATAATGGGACTAGGCAGAATTAATGGAATTTAAGGTGTGTGGATGGTGCAGTCGGTTCGTACGTCGGCGGTCGCTGTGGCCCGCCACGCCCTGGGCGGCCCTGCCCCGCCCGCCCGGCCCACCACGGCCGCGGCCGCCCGCCACCGGCCAGCATGCCACCGCCGCGCCACGCCTCCCCGCCGCAGTGCGTGAAAGTGGACATTATTGTGGGGAGTCTTGGCGCGCGAGCTTTTTGGCCGGTGGGACGGGGAAGACCGGACTACACTGCTTTGCCATGCATCACGTGCCGACTCCTGGTCTGGACGTCTTCATCAGGGACTTGACCTGGACCTGTGCTTGGCCACGCGCGGCGCCGCACACGCTTGGCCGCCTGCCGGCCTAACCGCCCGCCGCACACGCGCCTGGAATTTCTCACACCAAGCCGAGCGGCCCATCACGCACCGGCACTGGAATTCACACCGCGGAGGCAACTTAACCCGCGCCTCTCATTCGGTCACTCACTACCACTCACTTACTCTCACGCACCGGAACACCTCGGCGGTGAGCGGGGCTCCGCGCCTGTTATCGCTTCTCTTAGCGCTGGACCTCGTCTCATCGTATGAAGTCGGAAGTTATGGTTATAATAAGTGGCTGTATAAAAATGTTTCTTTTTTACTCAAAGTAGATAATTTTTACTTTTCAAAATTCAGTAAAACCCCTGTGTCAATCTGCAGTACTTGATGAACTAAAACAACCAAGCTATTGACCAGTTTTTTATTACCACTTTCCCCGGAGAAATCCTGAGCGTTGATTCTAAAAGAAGATATCTTATGAAAATAAAACCACTCACTTGGGACCTCTTCAAAGTTAAGTTCATTTAACTCTGATATTTTTAATGTGTTAAGCCATCTCTTGTGTTGAGAAATACAGTATACCCTCAGACTCAGGTTCCATCCCTACACTTGCAGTGGCTCAGAAACTAATTTTAATGAGGAATGTACCAAAAATTGCTTAACTTTTCACTTATGAGTATATATACCCTCGTATACCCTCGTATAAATATATTTGTCATTTTAGTTCGGGTAAATTTTTTGCCTGCAACTTGATTTAAGGATTTCCGTTAGATTTTCAAAACAAATGTTTTTTTACTTCAAGACCTGTTTAGTTCACGCTCCAAACAAGTATTTTTTTTTTCATAATTTTAGGACGTCGTTCTCAAAACTTAAAAGAAAAACGGTTTTTAGGTGTGTCTTTCATTTGTTTGATGCGCCGGACCACCGCAGCGTATGCCCAATAGAGTGTATAATTCCTGGCCAATCTGTCGCCCAGTCGGTCAGTCCCCACTCCGCGCTTCCCCTGATCGTCGCCGGGGGGTCCTCCAACCCCCTCTCCCCTCCCCCGCGGTCCGGTTCCCCCGTTGGTTTTATGGGCGTCGCTGCGGCCACCCATTCCGGACGGGCTTTAGTTTACTGTCCGAGGGCGTGGCGGGGCGTGGCGGCGAGGCGCCACCCCGCTAACCGACGCACAGTGCCAAAGTCAAAACATTAAAGTGATGACTTGTTTGCTTCGCCGCTGGGGGGCTGAACGGCAGCAGCGTCGTGTGTCGGCCTGTCATTTACGGACAGGAGTCCGGCCGGAGGGCAAACTAGACGGACATTCTCGCAAGTTTGTACGATTCATTGGCGCTCCCAGAAACCACTCGGCGGCCGGCAGCGGCAGCAGCAGCAGCGGCGGCAGCAGCGGTGGTCGCGAGGAGGAAGGAGATGTTTTGTCCGTTTTGCGGGGTCACGAGCGATGTGTCCGTGGGTTCGCATGTCCTCCTCACGCGGCTCCCGTTACCGATGTGCGTTGCTCCCAGCCGCGCCACGCCACGCCACACGACACTCTCTCGCATTTGCACACTCTGTTTCGGGGTGCAGCCGCCAGGCGGCGCTCTCCGTCACTGACTTTACGGCATTTTAAATCTGGCAGCCACCACAATGCGGCGGCTGAGCGGAGCAGGGTGCGAGCCTTGTGTTATAGATTTGTACTGCCTGCATACATACTTTGAGCAGCAGGTACAAATTTATCTGGAAATGTTTTAAAATATTTTATACTCTCCTAGTCATATATATATTTTTATGAATCATTTGGCAAATCTTATGTCCGGCTGAAGTTTCTGGTCTTGCACCGAAGTTGTCGACATCCACACAGGTTCACCATCATCTGATGGTAACTACTCCCGTCGAAAGGGTCGAGTCTCTCGAGCCGGCACCCGTGCTGCCCTGCTCCCTGCTAGTGGCAGGTCACTGCTCGCCATTGTTTCACTCGGAGAGAGAGAGAGAGAGAGAGAGAGAGAGAGAGCAGACGCTCGACCGTCCGCCGGTGATATAAACGAGCGGGGAGCCGAGAGAGCCGGCCTGGTCCGTCATGTGGTGTCGCGCGGCGCCGAGTATTTTTGCCCGGAGGTTCTCTATTTACTTAAAGTGATTATATATAATTTTTTTAAAAAGATCCTGTCACTGCATCCTGCATCGTGGACACTGCTCGGCGTATAGTGATCCGTCTTGGAGAACTTCTCTCCCCTCGACTGACTACTGGCTGGCTGTGGCCGTGTGCGCCGCAGGACACACAAAGAGGAGTGGATGAACTCCATCCCATTCCAGCGGGTTGTGGTTGTTACACGTCCTTCGCAGAATAGCGATTCCGTCTTTTTGAGAAGCGACACGAAGCATTAATCTTTCGGGCGGTTACGACTCGTCCGTCTGTCTCCCACCAATATGCAAAACAGGCTGCAGCATCTTATCAACCAGTTTGAGCTGATTATTTGCTTATTTTTTTTTAAGAGGGGAAAAGAAAAAAATATCAAGCTCTGATGCTGGCTAGCGGCCAAAAACCTTTGGGACCTGTTGTGTGGCTTGACGTGTGGATGATTGTGTATCTGCTGGGGGAGTCATCACCCTCCTTGCATCGTCTGACTCAGCCGGTACACTTGGAGAATCCGAATCGTCTTCTGCCTTTTCTCTCTCCTTTTCTCTTACTCTCGTTGATGCTAACAAGAAAAGTGGCGATGTCTAAGCAGCTTGGGCCTGCCCGGTATAATCCTTACACATATTAATGCCTCTCATTGCAGAAGCGGCGTCCCTTGACACTTTGCAGATTGAGAAATATGCATATTGCAAGAGGAAGACACCAATCCGTCATTTAACACATTTTAAATCCGTGATCCTTCAGTCTTTAATGAAAATTTATAAGGTAGGCGTTCCTTTCTCTTTGTTGCATAAAACCGGAATAAGTCTTATCTGTCACACATTTAGTCACAAAACATAGGCCTAAGTGAGACCGGCCGAGGAGTTCTTGGAGAAACTCTCGTCTAACATTTGGACGTCAAGCACGTACTTGTCTCCAATACCTGCCTCTTGCGAGGCACTCTTCACTCGACATCGACACCTACCGACGCGATTTGCGCTCCCAGCAGCAGGACGGCGACGCTCACGAGGAAGGCGCGGTGTCGGACCATCTCGCTGGCACAAGTCACTGCTCACTGCACACACTAACACAAACACACGCGCGGACTCGCACTCGCGCTCGCACACTGTAGGGGCTGCGCGCCGCGCGCTGATGCACCGCCGCGGAGTCCAGACCTGATCCCAACTGGACTGTGGCGCGCGCGCACTGCCGAGCCAGGCCCACGGACCGGGCAGGCCGGGCGGCCGCCCTCCACCACCCGTGCTACTCTGTCCCCACCACCGCGACCCCGCCGCGCCCCGCCCCGCCGCACCTCTCCGAGCGAGCGGCGCATCGCAAACCTGGCTGCTTGTGAGATGAGACCCTCCCTACTACTGCTGCTGCTGCTTCTGCTGCCTTTGTCGGATGTAAACACTTCGTGTGCGTAGGCAGACTCGCCGGGCGCATGTTGTTCTTGATGTGTTTGGTGGGTGGTGTATGTTGCCCCTGATATCTTTAGTGGATGGCCTATGTGGCTCTGACGCATTGTGCGGAATATGTTGCCTCTAACGTCCGCTGCAGAGGTCGCCCTTATTGTTTGTTCGAGCCCTGGAGTGTTGCCAAATGCCCCCCCCCCCCCAAATGGCACTTGAACGTCCCCTGTCGGTTCCCCACCGTTTTCCCTGTTAGCCCCACACATCCCAAAATGCTTATTTGAAGTGTTTATCTTGCAAGAAGTTAAATTAGTACAGTTTCACCGTTCCAGCAGCGGAGTGTACTCCCCCAAGCACTCACTCTGTATCGCCTCGCGCGCACGCCGCCCCAAACATTTCCGAGAACTCGTCATTGATTCGATCCCGGCACTCGAGTGCGGTGAAGTTGATCACGCGCACACGCGGTGTCGTGACCGAAGTCTCGGTCAGGTGCGATGCGAATTTGCGGCGGCGGCAGCGTAACTCGCCCGCGCTCCCCGCGACCTACGGCGGTCCTGCGCGTGCGGCCGGCGGCGATGAAATATCGCCGGTCACTGCTGCTGCCGCCGCTGCTGCTACGCGCTTCGATTAATGGTTATTGTTGTTAGTTATAGTGCCGTTGATACTGATGCCGATTCAATAAGGAGGGGCCCGGAGCCCGGAGGGGCCAGCGGCGGGAAACAGCTTCAAACGTGTAGAATACGGGGAGGGCTTTAGAAATGTAGTGCCGTGTTAGAGAAAGGGGCTGTAGGGGGAGGGGTCGGGCTCGTTGGCGTTAAGGGAACAAAACATGAATAAAACCTTACGTTTGAGGTGGAACTGCCACTGCCGCGGGCCACGCGCTGGCCCAACTGTTTCGTGCATCGAAGGGCCATGTTCTGTGTACGCCCGATCCTTCGCTGGACTGACCAGGGGCCACGATTCTGCCTTAGGCCCTTGCGAACGGTCCCGAATTTCACTGTTTGGTGGGTGCATGGTGTATCCCTCACGCCTTCCTCCTGCCTCTTCATGAACTTCGCCTACTTTTCTGTGTTCTTACCAAACAACTCCCCGCCGTTGGCGGTCAATGGTTTCAAATTATTGTGTGACCTCAAGGTGGAGGGATGTCACGGTCTGAGGCGTAGTTTAGCTCACGAATCCTTAGGTCAAGATGAAGACGCTTTCAAACTTTTGCTAGGAAGTGTTCAGGGTAATTAGTCCACAAAACCCGGCACGTTTTGTAGTCATCCTGTACCGCTGGCAGCCATGCGGGTGGTTTTGCCCGCTTGTGTGCAACACACCCGTGTGCTGTGCAGTGTAACTACCTAATTGTTTTGGGATTCATTGCCCAACCATTACTGACTATTTGTACAATGCTAGTGCCACACATGGTTGTGGAGATTATTAACTTTATTTCAATTATATACACCAGATAACTCTTTCAAAGATTTACGCAGTGGCAGCGCCCCATCCGCTTGATGCGTTTTCTCGGGGTAATTGAGAATGTGGGTAGTTTCGTGGATAGCTAAGGTGCTGTCGTCTTTCGCCGTGCATGCCGTATGTAACGATGATCGGAATTAAGAGCACGCCAATCGGTGAGCTTTCACTTTATCATTCTCACTTTCCACGCCCGCGCCCGTCCGCCCCCTGCCTCCCGCCCGCGTTGACGTGTAAACGGGGAGGTGTCCGTTATATTTATTGGCAATTAAAGCTTTTTTATTAGTGCAGAAGACTGCAGAATGCGCGCCGTCACAGCAGGGACCCGTAGCAGTGGTTACTCAGCGCTTTGGATTGGATCGGACGCGACGGGCGCGTTTAGGGGCAATGTTTGTATCATTGGCCAAGGTGGGGTGGGGCCCGGAGGAGCCAGCCTGGCGGAGTCCGGCGCCTGCACACTTCTCTGCGCTATTGACTCGACCGCGTCCCCGCCAAGAACACTGTTTTTCCGCGAGGCGCGGGCGGCGGGGGCACAGCGCGCGGAGCGCTGGCCGCAGAAAGAAAGGCGCAAGTGCGTTCCGCCAGCCGGTGGCGCGCGCGCCTTTTAGCAAGTCGTATAATAATAGCCACCGAAAAAGGCATCACGTGCAAATCAACTGGAGGCCGTATTCTTGCGACTGGAGGCAATTAACAAGAACACCACCACTTCGGACTGCACTCTCTCCCGCTGTAGAAAGGGGCCCACGTGCCCGCACATCCTGCTCGCAAGGGCGGACCGAATTATTTCGAGGTTATTTTTTGTTGGTTCCGTTTTGCGTTAGCGAAAGACGACGACATATTTACTGGGGGTGAAATGCGACACTAAGACGGCCAGACGCGAAGAACTCCGCTTCCAAGCTCTCGAAACCATATGGTCTGTTTTCTTAAAAGAGAGTGAGGCTGGTGATACTATCCGTGTGCTGTATACGCGTGCCATTTTCTTGACTAATTGAAGATAAACTTGCCAACCACATAGCGGACACACCGTTGTCTGGCGCACACACACACAAACATACAAACACACGCACACAGGCGCACACACACGTTTACACTGAGGACAAAGCGTTTCGCACAAAGAACATTGTAAACAACTTAGGGCGCCATTTGGATGCGCGCGCACCGCTCGCCGTCGCCGCATAGATTTCACGGACTTTTGCGCGCCAAATTCCTAGATCGCTTGCCGATAGTCGACGAGCTGAACGGCGGGGCGGGAGAGGTGTGCCATTGCGGGGACGCGACGTGCCGCGGCGCGCCTCTCTGTATGCCACCACCAGGCTCCCCGGACGAATAGGCAACCCGACAGAGCCCGGGCATTCCCCCTACATCTAGAAACGGATCTGGTCGGTCTTGTGCCCTGATCGGCGCTTTTGATAGGCAACCCGCGATGGAGGCCTTAAGTCCCTCTGTATTTGTAAGCGGGTCTGGCCGTGTGGCGCGGCCTGCGCTGTGCATAGGCAACCCGCACAGCCCAGGCATTCCCTCCGCATCTGAAAGCGGATCTGGCCGTATGCCCTGGCCACGGCAGGTTCGCACGCTCCCGTCACTCACTCGACAAAAGGGCTCCCGGTCGCACTTGCATTACGTGCACGCGCGCGACAGCATGCCGGGAAAATATAAGGCGATCTCGGTCAAAGCGGGTCGACCTCGAAATGTCACGCGTGTGCCGTCCGTCAACGACTTTTGCGGGCGGATCAGCAAACGTTTATACGCGGACGTGGCGCGCGACACCCCCGCGCAAGCCGGCCGTGCCGCCACCGCCGTGCTCTCGCGCGTACATGGCTTATTTACCTGACGCCTGAAATTATGGTTCTTTGTCGGGCGTGTTCGCGGGGAATGCAATGGTTTGGCAGCGGTCACCGGACCGCCAGTCGACCTGGCTTCCCTGGCCTCCGCCCGCACGGACGCCTCTCTGCTTTTCACTTTTCGCTACTCGCGTGGGCGGCAGACGTGCCGGTGAATCACTCCGACTGTTCTACTGGATTTATAAATCTCTGAATTCGAAGTTTGAAAGTCGGCCGTTTTATACACCACAGCGCGTGTGTCTGCTAAAAGAAACGGAATGTTGACGTGGAAATGGTGGGTTTAGTTACACCACGCGGCGGCTCATTCCGGGTCACGTTTCCACCCTGGCTCCGTCGATCACCCGGAGCGATCAGCAGGAGTTTCTGAGATCACCGCGAGTCATCGCTCCGGAGGAAAGAGAAAAGAATATGACGCCATTAAGCGCCCGGGGCCTCCCATGACGCCCAACTCGCCCACCCAAACGACAGCGTAAGGGATCATCCAGAAATCGCGTCCGTCGTATACGCCATGACGCCATGGCAGCATCTTGCCTAAAGTGCATGCGTGTGCTATGGGGTAGCCGACCTTTACTGCTAGTTTACAGTGATATGCTCCCTAGCTGAAGGCAAAAATTGACTGTAAGCTAGAGCGCTGCAGGGTTCAGTGATTCCAACGGTGAAACTCGCAGCAAGCTTTTAACAGTAAAACAGAAAATTAACGAAGAAAATTTCGTTGTATCACGATAACTTTGGTAACTTTTTAATCGGCTGAGAAGGAAGACCCTGTTGAGTCTCACTTCACCTTCACATTGTATTAGCTGTAGCTTTACAGGTTTCTTAAGGAGCAAAGATACTGACAAATTTGTCACTTTTTTAGCCTTAGAATGGATTTGTGACTGCTCAAGCGTGCCAGAAAATGAGCAACGCACCCTGAGAAGTCCGTTTATGGATCAAGCAAAATGTTCTTGGCTTAAGTAACATATGAATTGTTGTATTTTGTCGTGGGTGATTTTAATTTCATCAATGCCTCCGTAGATTTCAATGAAGGTAGTATCGTTATCGAAGAAGTATAATATTCAAGTAGGTAAAGGTATAAATATTGTGTTTACTGCCGGCAACTTTGGCCTACACCTTTCAGTATAGGGCTCTCCGTGTGCACCTGGCCTCTTGGCCATGTACACAATATTTTCTGTCATGTACACACTAGTTCCTGCAAAAATGATCATGTGCACAATTTTTGCTACATGCAAATGTAGGTATTCAGAAAATTACGTATGTATTTACACACACATGAAGAAAAAGTCAAACGTAGACACACAAATTGTTTGTCAGACCAACTTACCTACAGCAACTCGAAAGACTGATTAACTTTTTACTGTTACGTTTACATTAGAATGGCTGAAATTCTTCTCCCTGCACATTCTCTTAATACCTACACATTGTTCTTTACTCGCCCAGAGACTGCCGCTGTGTTCTTTTCTTTTCGTCACTTAGACATCAGTCCATTAGTGAGGAA